CTACTGTTACTTTGCTGCTACTATTACTGCTACTACTACTGTTGCTGCTACTACTTCTACTACTGCTACTGCTACTGTTGCTGCTACTGCTATTGCTACTGCTACTGCAACTGCTACTGTTGCTCCTACTGCTGCTACTACTGCAGCTGTTATTGCAGTTGCATAAATTTAACAACTCACAATCCAGAAAGGAAAACTAAAGTAATCTGTATCCTACTCAAACTTGAATCCTAGAATTCCACATGACAGGCCAGCGTCAAAACGCAAGACACATTGGCCTTTTCAGGACAGTAAAACGTTTTTAGTGACAATTTGTTGACTATCAGCCCTGCGGCTCTGCTATAAAGGGTAGTCAATATTTTATGGCTCGACTGGCACCAATCACATAATAGGAGACTGGTTCCGTAGACCGAGCTGAGTGGTAAACTGCAACGTCGCCCACAGGGGAGAATACTCCAGAGAACCTCTCACCCTTCCTGGCTTGGAACTCACATGGTAGATTAGTAGGCTGCTACGGACGATACCAAACCTTTAAAGAAACCAACAAACACAGTGTTTTCATGGGGTCTCTCGGACAAGGGCGAAAAATCTCGGCGGTCCCTTGTGCAAGTTGCGCACGTAAAAGATCCCTTGGTGATCTAAAATCTATGAAAGTGGGCTTCGGCCGCCATCCGGGCAAAATTCAAAATATCCTACCAACTGAAAATGTTTAATGTGTCCCGCTCGCTCATATTATTATGACCTTATGCAGTCGCGAGCACCGTAAAACACATACAAAAAAAGAGTGCTTTCACCTGTAGGCTGCCCAGAGAAGCAGTCCACTCCTTCAAGATCTAAGTCAATGTCCGGCAGAACTTGGGCCACACCTGGCTCGTCCAGCCGTCTCACCAACTCAGGAACTGAAGCAATTCGCAGGGCCTCCTCCTGGCTGACTCCCTGAGGAAGATGAAACATGTGATTGTGTCAGTGTCAGGACAGGACAAGAAACATGTGATTGTGTCAGGACAGGACAAGAAACATGTGATTGGGCCAGGACAAGACAAGAAACTTGTGATTATGTCAGGACAAGACAAAAAACATGTGATTGTGTCAGGACAGGACAAGAAACATGTGATTGTGTCAGGACAGGAGAAACATGTGATTGTGTCAGGACAGGACAAGAAACATGTGATTGTGTCAGGACAGGACAAGAAACATGTGACTGGGCCAGGACAAGACAAGAAACTTGTGATTATGTCAGGACAAGACAAAAAACATGTGATTGTGTCAGGACAGGACAAGAAACATGTGATTGTGTC